CTAATGTTTTATTTCATTCACACATGTTTAACACACAAACCCTGCATATTTAAGGTCCGATCAGACCGGAGCATTTAGGCGTTCAGTTTACATGCAAAGTCTAGACTCTATGTGGATGCGCTTCGAGGGTGTCCTGCGTTTTTGTGGTGCGTTTTCAGGCGTCAGCATGACACGAATCGAGTCGTGTCATGCTGTGCGTCTTGAGCGTTCAGGCATCGACTCTCTGAACACGCATCCAGGGCATTGGCATTGGCGTCATAAGTTAAAAAAGCTGAAATTTTGGAGTCGGAAGCACTGCATCAACCAGTCATGAACAACTATCCAGAATAAGAAATCTATGCTGTGTCATTAGTGGATTGTAAACATATACACGCCTCAGCCGCCGAGCTGATCACCTCCACTGATGCTTTTTATGTAATAACTACACTAAAGCCGTTCTCTCAGCCTGGTCTGCCATCATTCTGGGATAAGACCAGGGAAAGGGCCCTTGTTTCAAGACGCGCGTCAAGTATTTTTCTCCTGTTCATCCACAGCGTCCAAAACACGTGTTGGGGATGTCTAAACTCAAATGGAAAGATGTCCAATTAGAGGCATCCAGCGCGCTTTTTGACTCTCCAGTCTGAAGGGACCTTTAGGCTTCTTTCAAACTGAAAACACTCTGTTCCACTTTGTGATGTCATGTGGTAATACAGCAAGTGCTGCATTGTGTTTTAAAGTTCATTCGCTTCACCAGAATCATTTGGATAATTTCAGCCCTAGAATTGCCAATCTCTACTGAACAAAAGGTAAATGGGAGCTATTAACTTGAAAACTACCACTTCGTGACATCACAGTGTGGAACAGCATTTTGAGCTTTGGCTTTGGAGATGTAGACAGACTAATAATACAGTTACTGAAACATGTGAATGAATTTGATGAGGTAGCTGCATTCTAACATGTCTTAAAGCTCACAAGAGTCAGTGCTGCAGAAAAGTGCTCGAGGACCTGTCTCCAGATCTTGTTAGAGCTAATTTTGTTCAGTACTACTTCAGCTGGAGGATTTGACCAGTTATGCACGTTTTGGGTTTGTGCGTTTTAGGTTTTTTTGTGCGTCTTGTTTCAGTTTTATCATGTAATATCTTGGGGCCCGTGATCTTGCCCCGTCCCTAATAGAACATTATGATGATACATGATGAACCCGAACGTCTGTCCTTGCGATGTTACCAGAGAAACTCCACTTGACCTCCGCACCGGCGCCCTCACCTCATTCAGATGTGCCTCAGATGTGGAGCAGAGAAGTGGGTCAGATAGCGGAGGGAGGACGGGGCTACACGGGCAGACAGAGATGGATGGACCAAAGGACTACAGGGAGCAGGTTTTGCATAAGACTCTGAGTGCCTCGAGGGCTTCTGTACGGGCTGAGTCAGAAGCCCTGTTTTTATACATATTTTTGTATTAAACTGACAGTAAGGAAGACACTGGACAAAACAGCAGAGAAACAGGGAGACAGGGAGAAATAAATAAATAAAAATGCACATTAGAGGTGGCACTGTGTAACACTTTGGCTGCAGGTCCATCACCTTCTTGTCTTTGTGCATTTATCGTTGCTCTGCCTGGAATGTTCCACAGTATAACAGCTCTACCTTACATTTATTCAATTACAGATGGTTGTATGGCTCAAAAATACCTAGAGAAATAAGCATTCTTAGTGTCAGCGGGATTTAATACCATACTGTGAAACATTCAGAAAAAGCAATAACATATCCATGAAGAAAAGCATGTGATGGACTCTCCACCAGAAAAGTTACACAGTGCACCTTTAATATAGACCAAAAAAAAAAAAAAGGTAGATGTTTTACAATTTGACATAGACTGAAGAAAGAATAAAGTTCACATAATCCTAACCCTACAGCTACATTCAGACTGCAGCCTGAAGTGACCCAAATCTAATTTTTTCGCCCCTATGCTCCTGGATCTGATCTTTTAATGACAGTCTGAATGACACAGATCCAATTTTTTTCAAATGCGACCCAGGCCACTTGGATATGTGCTCCTAAAACCGCAGCTAAAGTCATTTCACTCACTTTATTTATGTTGGTCACTTTATTTTGGCTACTGTTGAGATGAAAAGACTGAAAAGTGTTTGTCTTTTGGACACATGCGCACTCCACTTTATGTTGCAGTAACCGTGCACCATGACGAAACCGGGATACTCAAAAAACCCGATCATACCCAGGACACTGATGTGCATGTAAAAGTGCTCATTGAGTGGTACAGTGATCTCCAAGGAGGTGTGCCAGAGCCGAAACGTGGGACTGTGAGGTCGAAACTCCTCGTCTCCTTACTCTCCACTGCTCACAGCAACCTACATTTGGTTTATTGATTAAAAATGAACGTGATCGAGAAATTGTTAGTGATCAGTTATGGATTAGTCGACTAATCATTCCCATCTCTAGCATAGACTGTATAAAAATGCGGACTAAGGGAGTGTGACGTCACCCTAGACCTGCGGACTTTTGACGAATATTTTTGAATTAAGTGTGCGCGATGGCTGCATCTCTGGAGGTTTTAATCAGATTTACTCTCTGTTTATGGTCTAAGGGAAGCTGCATTACCATAGCCTCATTTGCAGACTAACAAAAAGGCTTTCCGCACAGTTAAGAATTTTGATGAGACCAAAACAGACTTTATAATCCATATCCGGAAGAGGAAAATGACACTGGGTTCTTTATGTCGGTGCATTTTGGGTTTTTAAGCTGTGCAGAAGTAGTTTTTAGTTTGTCACGGTCAGGGTTGGGAAGTAACAAATACATTATGAATACAAAAAATACATATTCATCATGCAGGCTTCACACTGTACAATACAACTGAGAAAAATTAGAAAATAATCATCTTGCAGAGCGTACATGTGCAATTGTTTCTTTCTCTAATTAATAATAATTGTGAATTATAAATGGTTAAACAAACATTAAGATACTTTAATTTCATGTTGTATTTTTTTTCACTACAATCAAGGATACACACTTCTCCAGTACTTAACAAATGTGAGTCTGGTCACAGGTGAATTTCTCAAAGTTCAGATGGGTGTGACATGCACGGTCTGTCTGTATCAAAACTAACATGGCTGCTTACGAAGAAAAAAGAAAGGAAACAGTACAGATTTCTGCAGAATGAATGAGCAAAGCACTAAACTGTCAATCTGGTATGAGAAATATCATTTTGTTCAATCCAATCCAGTCCACTTTATTTATTTTGTACATTTTATACACATGACAGTTTCCAAAGTGCTGCACAGACAAATTGACACAATAAAAGACAGTAAAGCTGAAATAAAAACAATAAATAAAAAGTGTTAAAATGCTTAAAGCTAAAAATGATAAGAAAAAAAGAGAGTATTCCAGAGTTTAGTTAGGCCAGTGTTAAAAGCAGACGCAAGTGAAGATATTCTGGCTCTAATTGCAGCAACCTTATTGTTAAAAAATAAAAGGAAATGTTCACACTTCTCACATGTCATTTCCAAAGTGGTGGATGGACTGGGGTTACACAGTAAAGTAAGTGGCTTTTATAAAGTAAAAGTAAATAAGTACAATAACACAAAAAAACGACATTTTGTGATAAATCAAACATTCCCTATACAACTAAACAATAACTCTAATGGGATAAAGATAAATTAAAGGTTGTAAAGATTTTCAAAACGAGAAATCCAGCACTGTTTGTCCTTTTTCAAATGTTGCGCATCGTGAAACCACCCCCCCTCCCTACAGGCTCCTACGTAGAAACGCCTTCTCCCGCCTCCTCACTAAGAAACAGGTGTTTACAGCCGGTGAGCTGCACATGACTTGTAAACAACTAACTACAGTGTTGGTTAGGCAAGGCGGAGAAGTGAGGAGCGGGGGGAGCGGTAGGGACATTTCGTTCGCGGACGAAAGTAGGAGCAGGGAGAGAGCGGAGCAGGGAGAGAGGAGAGAGGAGAGAGGAGGGGCCGCGGAGATTCCGTGCCCGTAGAAGTGAGGAGAAGGGGGAAAGAGCGGAACGGGCAGCGGGACAGGAGTAGGAAAGGGGAGCAGAGAAGGTTGCGCGGAGATTCAGTGCGAATGAACAGCTACAACACGCAGCAGAAGCGGACTCTTTCTTGCCTTGAAAATTACGTTTTCAGACATAGGATATCGCTTTCGTGTCCTGAAAAACGTTTGACTAGCTCTTGGAAATAAAGTACGTTTTCATAATAAGCAGAAGTTACCTGTCCAGGAGTAATTTGGCGACAATGCGTCAGTCTTTAGACCCTGCGTCTGCTTCAGTCGCGCCATCGCTGGAATGAATCTACAAGAATCACCTTAGTTTGGCTTCGCTGCTTTTCCCCTTGTCTTCTTCTTTCAGCGACCTCAAAAACGGACTTTCTTTTGCGGCTAACTGCTCCTGGATTCTTGTCTGCCATTGCAACAAACTTTGTGCTAACTGCGAGGAAGATATAGGTCAAAAAAAGCGCTAAGAACTGTTGCATTGGTGGAGTAAACAGCGTCTGTGCGTCTTGCGTCTGTGGACTGCGTGACAGGCGTACGTAAACACGTACCGGCGGCGCGCAGGCAGGTCAGTTACGCTAGAAACGTAGGGAGTTGATTGATAGCCTGTCAGCTAACAGATAACGAGGCCGTGTCGTTATCTATTGGCAAATGTTTAGCTGGCCCCACACGTCCAGAGTTGAGAATTTTTATTCTCTTTTTTTTGGTCATCATAATTACAAGGCTACTGCACCTCTATAATGCTATCATTGACAACTTGAAACAAAAAAAACAAAAACAAAATCCTCCATACAACCTTTAAAGAAAATACAAATGCTCAAAGGCCGAGACAAACTGTAGCTAACAACAAAGATGATAGGTCAATAACAACCTTTAGTGTCTCAAACACACAATTCACACTTAGGAAACAGAGGACAACAAGAACCACATCAATCACAGAGTGTGGTGAACTGAAACTGAAATCCAGCCGCCAGGAGAGTCACGCACACAGCACTTTGTTGGATGAGAGTTTGGCAGAACAGGAAGGGATTGGAGGAACGGGACGTCAATCCTCCAACCACGCATGACGAACATCGGAGTCAGCCCAACAGCGACTTGACCACAGCCCACCAATCAGGTGTCAGGTACCACACAGCATATGCAAATATGGAAGGCACAAGTGATGAAACAAACGGGGAGTGTCAGCCGAGGCAGAGCCAGACCGTGAGCCGTAATAGGGGTTTATTGATACTTTCTAAAATCAGGTCTGAGAAATATGTTGTATTTTCACTATTAACAGTGTTATGATATAGTCTCCTGCTGTCTTTAAGAATTTGGTGAGATTCTTCCAAGTTATCACTTTTCCACCTGCTGCTTTTTCACCGCTCTATGGCACTTGCGCCTGGCTGTGCGTGCCGCTTCACTGAGCCATGGCTGTTGTCTGGGTGTAGAATGCATGGTTTTCAGTGAAGAAACATTGTCCAATACATCGCAGCAGGTCGAAATGAAGGAGTTCATTAATTCCTCGGGACCCACAGATGCACTCGGGTCAAAAGATTTTGTAAAAAGAGGGGAAAAGTTAGCAGCAGTCTCTGGCTTTATAGAGCAACTCTGGTGCACAGGACCAGTCAGTCTCATGTCACTGTGCATTTTAACTGAGATTCAGGAGCAGGACCACGCCCCGACCGCCCTCTCCTCCTCACCAGCGACCCACAACTCTCCTCCACCACACCTCTAATTTCCCAGAAGCCTATTTGTAGCAGCCTTTCCCATCATCCCAGTTTGTCTCAGCTAACAGGACCCCACCCTCCCACCCCCTATCTCGTTCGTCTTTCAGCCATAAGACGCCACGTGGGGGGTCCCATTCCAGCTGGGCCAGTTGAAGATTGAGACGGAGCCCTCACCTCGACTCAACCCAGCCATCTCTGCCCCACCTCGTACATTATCAGTAAACTTCTTCGCTCTGTTGTTATTGGCATGGTCTTTGCTAGTGAATTGTTCAATATTTGCCTCACCACAACACAGACTACCAAACCCACAGGCAGTGATACAGTCGCGGTGAAGTACTGCAGTGATACAACTGACTGAAATTGTCATTTAAACCACCAAACTGTCCAAACACAATGAAAACACTTCATATTTACACACATTGGGTGCAGCCATCTCGAATTTTGACTCAGAATCCTTGCTCGGTGTACTTTTTCCGCCACCGAGGTCCGGGTCGCAGAAAAGCAACTTCCTCGGAAAACTGTTTCAGAAGGATAATCGAAAGCAGGGAGAGATGTAATGAGACCACCCCCACCCAGAACACTCCCGTTACATTTGTTGCCCAAAGAGTTGACGGTGTAACGTAATATTATTCATTATCGTTTTTTACACTCTGTTGGAGAATGAGTTGCAGAGTGTAGGGGCAGAGATGCAGAAGGTTCTCTCAGCCTGCACGGAGGTGAGACAGGGGCCAGGGCTGGAGGAGGGCGGGGGTGTGCTGAGGAGGAGGAGGAGGAGGTCAATGAGGCAGGAGAGTCCAGCTCATGAAGATGGATCAGACGTTTCATATTTCACACATGTAGATGATCCAGAGCAGAACCTCAGTGAGCTGCTAAATGAACAGGACACACTCCAGCGGACAGTGTCATTAGAGGCAGAGTGCTCATGTCCGTGGTGTGGAGGGAGCGCGGCGGGCTAATGTGTCAGAGCTGCGTGGGGGTGGAGCTAATCAAGGAGGCTGGCTGTTCAGAGTCTTCCCTGACACTTCACCCATCTGTATGAATGCCCGATACTGTAATTGGTGCTGCTCAGAGTTGCCATAAGAAATAACCTCAGAAAGCTGCGGAGGGCCCAGAACATTTGTTTACATAACACACATTGTTTTTGAAAATGCATAGATATTATTTTCTATAGTGTATTCTACAATGACATGACATTTTACTACTTATACTGTAAGGATGTATTTAAAACCCCAGTATGTGAAATGTATTGTATTAGTATTTATTATACTGAAAAACACACTGCAAAAACACTTAACCACAATTTAAGATATAAACATTATTAATTATCTGTCCGTGCACCAAGATCATTTCACTTGACAAATTATCTTAAAATAAACTACAGTATTTTTTAAACTATAAGTCACACTTTTTTTTTTTTCTGGTTTGGATGGCCCTGCGACTTATACTCTGGTGTGACTTATATATTAAAATTTTTACACTGAAAGGCTCAAGAGGGTGCTCTAATCTTGTGTGTCAGTATCTGCTGCTCTCATTACTCCTGTACCACTGTCACTTAGCTCTACTGCGCATGTCTCCTGTGGTAAAAGCCACTGTCCTGCTGCAAGTAGTGACATATTCAGCAAAAAACGGTAATTGTGCAGCAGAAAGAAAGTTTGGAATGAGTGAGAAACTTGTGACACAGGGAGGATACGCCATGCAACTTTCCTGGAAGTCATTGGATGGATCGACAAAGCCTGGACTTCAGTGACAACCAAAACCATCCTGTCGGGATTCAGAAAGGCTGGAATAATTCTACCTGGAACTGATGCTCAGTCTGATGACACCTACACAGAAGATGAAGCGGCGCTCTGTTTACCTCTGGAGGTCATGCAGAAGTGACACTGAGGATGAAGAATTCAATGGATTTAGTGATTTGGAGTGAGATCAAGAGTTTGGTAAACTTATGTTCTGTTGTTAATGCTATAGTTATTTAAATAACTGTTCATATTTGACGTAAACATACTAGATGCCTTCTCTGTTCTATTGTTATTACTATAACTTGTCTTTCAAGATGAGATGTCGGTACCTGGTCTCTGATTTTATAAATACATTTCCTCCAAAAAGTGTGACTTATAGTCCTGTGCAACTTATGTTTTTTTTCTTCATTATGTATTTTTAACTTATTAACTTATACTCTGGAGCGACTTATTGTCCAGAAAATATGGTACCTCTAGACTAGAATAAGTGGTCTCAGAAGTAACAAGTAGATAATAAATCTGAAAAAAGCTTGGCCAGATCACAGAAATTTGCAGTGTATGACTATGAGTGGGCTTGCATCTCCATGAACCTGACTAATATGGTCTGGAGGAGGGCCTCCTCCTTCTTGTCTCCATGGAAATGTTTCTTTGGCTATTATATTCCACAGCAAGGCATAAAATGTATCTATCTCCATGGAGAATTTTCTGAAGTATTGCATTAACTTTCTATTTCCACTTTCCATGCAGATGACATGCCATTTCCCACGAGGTACACAGCAAAAAATAAAATGTTAAATAAGATAATATAGTAAATAAATGTTTTAATCATGTAGTAATATCTTGATTTGAGTATTTCAGCTGTCTGAAAATAAGATTTACCAATAAAACAAACACAAAATGTTTTATGTTTTACTAAAACAAATGCTACTGTAATGAGGAAAAAATGTATTTGTTCTTTTGGTAAATCTTATTTTAAGACTTTTATACTCAAATAACTACCACCTGGTTCAAGCACTTATTAACTTCATTATCTTATTTAACATTTAATTTTTTGCAGCTGAAAACTAATATTCTGAGCACTCGGGCCTCTATAGGCTCTATTCATACACCACAAACCAAGAAGATGTATGGAAACATGCGATTACAACTTCTGGCGGGCTGGGTTTATAGTAGTAAAACCTAGGAAAAATTAGAAAATGCCCCAGTTTTTATCATCTAAATGTCATTGTAGTTTTCTTCATCTAAATGTCATTGTAGCCGTTATGTTCGGCTAATCAACAATTACAACCATAACTCAGTTTTCATCATTTCCCCACTGACACACAACTCCGAGTGCACTGACTACATGCGATTAGAAGAGATGAGGATGAAAAAATTCTAAGATGATTCCAAACAGCACATACATGTATGCAGTCTTCATTTTACCACTGATGACATTTACTTCAGTGGGTTTTATCACAGTCGGTAGGCGGGCCAAGTGTTGGTAACTACGGAAGTTGTCATCACATGTTGCCAAACATTTTCCTGGTTTGTGACATAATCATGAATAGAGCCTGTTGTGTTGTGGGGAAGCTGGCCTGATGTGGTTGAAGAAAGAGGCAGACTTCAACAAAAAAGTGTCTTTGACCAGACAAAATGTATTTAAAATAGACTTCAGATAACTTAATTACAAAACTGTTAACTCAGGTAAACAGAAAATAAGTAACTTAAATTAACTCAAAGTAACAAAGATGTGCACCCTACTACACAAAAGTTGTTGTGCTGATCTCTCCAATAATGCAAAAAGCTATACAAACAAGCAGGTTTCTTACTGGTATACAGTTCTAAAAAGTACACACAACAAGTGACACTTAAATTTGTCTTCTAATCTGAGCCATGAGAGATGGGCAGTTCAGTTTATTCAAATGGAATTAATGGTACAAGAAATTCACAACATTTATGCAGAGCAAACAAAAACGGACTACAGTGAATAAATTGGCATAATAACAATTAAGACAATTAAGTGTATAGTAATTTAAGAGTGTATATAATTAAAGTTAATGTGATCCTTCATTAATAATTGTAATATTCTTAATAAATGAATACCCAAAATCCCAGATACTATTCATCGTTCAAGTTTATTTTCAGGGAGTAGTTTTATCTGTTTTAGTTTTTTGGCTTATTAATTTTGCATCAGTTTTAACTAGCAGAAAGTTTTAAAAATCTAATTATGTTCTTTATATTCTTTATAGTTATATTCTTTATTCTATATGTTCTTTATAGTTATTATATCAATGAGGATATCTAAATATTTTATGCATTCAGTTTTAAAAGATTTTTATTTTTTTTACTTTTAGGGTGGTGACATAACCAAAAGCGACGGCACTGGAGGAAAATCTATCTATGGTGACAAATTTGATGACGAGAACTTTGACATCAAACACACAGGCCCAGGGATCCTGTCAATGGCAAACCGTGGCCGTGACACAAACAACTCCCAGTTCTTCATCACGCTGAAGAAAGCAGAGCACCTGGACTTTAAACATGTTGCCTTTGGATGGGTTCGAGACGGCATGAATGTGGTGAAGAAAATGGGCGAGCACGGCACAAAAGGGGGTGTCCCGGCGAAGAAACTAGTCATAACCAATTGCGGTCAGCTCTAGCCTTTCAAGTTACATGTCAGAAATTACACAGTAATGCACTTCTCACAAAATTAATGTCAGGGGGCAACAAATACAGCACAGTTCATAAAGGACTTGGTACCATTTTAATAGATGCATACACATTCTAAATGGCTATGCCAAAATTGGGTGCATAAGGAAATGGTTTTTGACATTGGAACAGGTGGTTTGTCATTGTCAATAATTTTGACATTGTTTGTATAGTTGTACATTGACTACTTTTTATTGTCTGTGTTTTTTGTCTTTTTTGAACGTGTCCTGAGTTTGAATGTGCTTCACCTGTCTCTTTCGTTGTTTATAAGTCTTAATCTTATTGGTTAAGTCAGGTTATCCGTAAAAAGCACCTATTGATCACAATGTGCCCAGAAATCTGCTATTTTAGATTTCATTGAATTTATATTTTAAAAAAATGATTTTTTTTTTTTGGTAACCTTGCTCTGATGACATACAAAGCACTGTTCATACAGACTACATGGTTATTTATCATCAGGTGTTAGTTTTCTAAAAAAAAAAAAAAAAACAAACAAAAAAAGCAATTAAGGACAGATTATCATAATTTAAATAGTGCTTTATGTACCAGACTGGAGATGAATAAAGTTGCTTTTCAAATGGTGTTACATTTTGAGTTCATTTGAACCATGGTTCATTTAAAAACAAGTAAACACGATGGAAAGTGGATTTTACCACCTCCTCTATGGAGATTAATCTTTAACGGATCTAATGACAAAATCAATACCGTAGTTAATGGTTTAAATACGCAGTTTAGTTTAGTGAAGAAATTTAGTCATTCGTGGTTATTACAAATAAATAATACAATTAAATAAAATAATAAATCATAAATTCCAAATCTATCAATAGGTGATTCATGCTGGGGACTAGAACTATAATCAAATCTGGAAGGTGAATCCAAGATGGCGTCGTATTGTTTACTGGCGCATGAGCCCCAAATTTTCTCTTCCGCATTTATTTTCTCGTGTGACGTCTGTAACGTCCACAGCGTTTGGACCAATCAGAGCGAGAGCTGCTACAGCGGAGCTAGCACGGGCTCAGAGCGAGGTTAGAGTAAGTCTTACAAATATAACTTTTAGGGGCTTTGAGGATTTAAACAAACAAAAGTTTGAATTCCCAAAAAATGCATTGCGCGTCTCCGGTCCCAAGATCCCGGGGGTGCAGTACCTAGAGTGTCCACTAGTCGGTCTTGAGCCGGGACGGGGGGAGGGGCTTGTCCAGCACACGGACGCGCACGCTACATCGGTCCGCCCTCGGTGACGTCACCGCGCCGCGGTAAAGGGCCTGCGTCGC